GCTGGGGAATTCTGGGAGTTGAAGTCCACTCATCTTAAAGTGGCCACGTTTGGACAACACTGGCATAGACTATCGAGGACTACCTGGAACTGGGAGGCGAGGCGAGGCAGTGCTCCAACAAAGGCTGCATTCACACAGCTCGACGGAGCTGCCTGTATCCCCCTCTCCTCGTCCCTTTTCCAGGTGTCCTTCATATTATTTTCGGGCCAGCTCTCATTTGCGCCAGGGAAGGGGAAGTTCCTTAAAGTACAGCTGCCGTCAGGTTCAGCTCGACTGTGCGATGCGGGGTAGATCAGCACACGCACTTCTTTTGACAAGAGCACAGAGGTGGTTTGTCATTGCGTTTCTCTACTTCTCAGTCTGGCCCACGGCCCTGGGAGTCTCTGGTAGAGTTTCCCTGGCGTTTTAAGGATGCTTCTTGTTGTGGTTATCTTATGCCTTCAAGTCAGTCTTGGTGTGCCTTGAAGAAACCCCTGCAATTTTCTTGGCAGCATTTTTGGATGTGGCCTGCCACTGCCCCCTTCCCAGGGCTGAGGGACTGGCCCAAGATCACCCAGCTGGCTTCACAGCTATGGCAAGACTAATACAGACTCCCAGTTTCTAGCAGGTGCCTTTAATCACTACACCAGATTGTCTCTCTTTTAGGATTACAGCCATCATTAAATGTGGACAGGCAGGATCCACATTGTAGGTTTCTTACAATCTTTTTGGAGTGTTGGTTTAGAAAATGCCTACTCAGCGTGGATCCTGTGAGGACTTGAAACCTGTAAGGTTACATACAACTTCTGGACATGGCTTCCTTCCTCTGTTCCAGAATCTGATAATCCTTTCCATTGTTTGTTTATGGTTTTCCCTTAAATGAGATCTCCACTAGTGTGGTCTGAAAGGAGCATGTATGTAATGCCTGTGCAGGTGTCAATACTTCACCGACCTGGACTGATCTTGGAATCTCAGCATCTGGTTAATACTTGGATTGAGATCACCAGGAAATTGTAGAGCTGTGGTCTAGATTAGGAGAGCAGAACTACATCATGGAAGAAAGCAAGAGCAAACCATGTCTGAACTGATGCCAGCAACACTGTCTGGGTATGCCCATGAAAGTCTCCAGGTGTCAGGCTCAACTTAAAGGCAACTTTTTATTATGAATTCATAAAACTGAATTCATAAAATTACAGTTACAGAGCTGCATGATTGAAGATTCTGCTACTGCCTAGGCCAGGATTTTTCAACCTTGGCAACTTTAAGACGTGTGGACTTCAACTCCCAGAATTCTCTAGCCAGCATATGGGAATTCTGTTGAAGTCCACACGTCTTAAAGTTGCCAAGGTTGAGAAACCCTGGCCTAGATCCTGCCAGGCCTTTTTCTGAAGTGTTTTTCTGTATGCTGTTGGAAGGCAATTTACTGAACCTCAGTCAGGAGCACTTTAATGTCCAGGCTGATTATTATCTTCCAGAACTATTTTGGTGCAAATTTCTTGAAAATAGCATTTCTTTTCTAGCTCAGTTTTCCTAACAGTAACCTTCCTTATTTCAGCTCCGGATTTCTTTTAGAATTTGTTTCTGGGTTCTTAGTTCTTAAGAAGAAGGGGGGGGAGGGCAGAATTATGAAAGGAGTGATGTGTTGTTGTGATACAGTCCTTCCCTTTCTACATGCATTGTAATGTCACATGCATACCCAGAAATATAGTAGTTTTTACTTAACTCCAAAGAAATGGAAACTCTCTTGATGTTCTCTCTCAGGACATCCTTGTAAAATGGGGTTGGCCTGGCTAAAAGTAAGGAATGCCAGAAGTTGTAATTTAGCCCCAGGCTGGTCAAACCACAGCAGCCTTTGGGTTTTTCTTTTTGTTTTTCTGTGCATTTTTACAAGATTCTTATCAAAAGTAAACCGAATTGAATTCAATAAAATGGACTCCCTGGCAAAAGTGTAGGGTTGCAGACTCAGTGACTAAATTTAATGCTTCCCAATTTCTTCTCAACCCAGCTTCTGTTTTTGAAGCTTTTTAAAAACTAAATGGCTTGCTTATCTCTCAGCCCTGCATTGCAATAAAAATTGCTCTTAATTCTTCTAAGCTACTTGCCAGCCTGGAATCTAGAGCCTCAAAGTTAATACAGTTGGTAGCAATATTGGGATCACTGAAGTATATACAGACATCTGTCCCAGCAAGTAAAATCATTCCATCCCTCCTTCACCTCCAGGATAGCCTGTTCACAAGATAAAGATAAAGTACCGAGAGCCACGCCATCATTATCTCACAATGAAGTGAAGGCCTTCACATTCTTTTTCTCATAAAGCTGTAGGGCAGAGGTGGGAAACAGAAGTCAGAATATGAATGGACTACCATTGCCCTGTCCATAGACTTTGGTGAGGCTATTATTGGGGCTCAATTGAGACTGGGGCTCATGTCTTACTGAGGTCATTTTATATTGCTCCTTGGAAGAATATGGTGAGGATCTGAGGTATTGTGTAATAAAGGTAGGAGCTATAAAAGTGAAGTTTGCGGGACGATGAATTACAAAGATCAATGTTTACTGAGGAAGAGAAACTAGTGATCATTCTATAGTAGGATGTGAAGAAGACGTCTTCATTGAAATAGAAAAAGTATGGGAACTGAGTTCAGTTCAGTAAAATAGGCTGAGTCTGTTGTTTCAGATTCTTTGTGATCTGAGGGATGTAATTTTGTTAGGGTTGCTTGTCAATAATTGCATCTTTGATTTGTTAAAAGCTCATGCCTGTCTTATCAAGAGTAGTATACCTTGTCTTCTGGTGGCCTCTTTTTTTACTTTCTTAGTTTTTTCCAAACTTCAGGAGCTCTCCAATAACTCTGGCCTTTGCATTACTATACTGTATGTATCCAAAAGATTTCAGCTTTAGCTTCATTAGTTATGTTTCCAGTGAGCAGTCGGCTTTTAGTTCATGTAGTAGTGAATGATTTGTTCTCTTGTGGACCAAGATATTCTCAATCCTTCCCTCCAGTATCACAGTTCAGAGGAATCATTTTTTTGTTCAGTCTTTCTGATGGTTCAGCTTTTACAGCCATATGCTATAACATATGCCTTTGTTGTTCATGTGAGGTCTCTGCACTTTAATATTTTGTCTAGATCTGTCATAGTTTTTCTCCCAAGTAGCAAACACTCATTATTTTATGAGTACAGCCATCATCCCAGTGAATTTTAGATCCTAGGAAGATAAAGTCTGTTATTACTTAAACTTCCTTTCCTCCTATTTGCACTGGGTTGGCATTGCCTGTTTATGTAATCTTAGCTTTTTCTTATAGTGAGTAGCAGACCAAACTTCTGCACTTTCTTCTTTCACCTTCACCAAGAGATTCCTTAAGTCTTCCTCATTGTCAGACATCAAAGTAGTATTTTTATCATATCTCAGGTTATTGATATTTCTCTCAGCATTTTAAATTCAACTTTAAACTTATTTATTTAATTAAATTTAGATTCCACCTTTCATTCTGGCAGTATACATATCCTCCTATTTTTCTCTATGAGGTAGCTTGTGCTGGGGAGAAACTAGCCCAAAATCATCTAGTGAGCTTCTGTGGCTGAGGGTGGACTAGATCTTGGACTCCCTGGTGCTTAACCACTGCCCCATACAGGCTTTCTCTAATTTCTGTTTCTTCTTGTGCAGCCTTTGCACAGGACTTGCAAAATTGCCACCACTTTGGGGTAGGCCAGATCAGGAAACAGCACAAGGATCCCAGAAATGCTACTTTAGTGTTGTAGGGTATAATAACAGCTTTAAAGCCTGACACGGCTTCCCTCTGCCCCCTCTTATGCCAAATAAATCCAAGGCAGGGTTCTTTTGAATTTCCCTCTTATACCTTCTCCCAGGATTCAGCTGTCTTATGTTATCTTGATTGTTCTACAGAGCTTCTTCAAGATTATCTGTGCATACCTCGACATAAATAAAGTAACAATACATAACTTTTGTGCAATCCTTTCCTTTTTTGGGGGGCCAGTTAGTTGCTCCATATTCTCTTTGAACTGTTTCTTCTTGTTTGTGGTACAGATTCTTCATTAGGCAGTTGCAATGCCCAGTACACCCGTTTTTTAAGAGCTAGTCAAAATATTTTACAGACTACACAATCAGAAGCCTTAGTATAATCAATTAATGAAAAACCCAGAGCTAGTCCTTTGCCTTTTCCATTATGCACTAGCTATTAGTAATATGATTTTGGCTGTCCTATTTCTGCTGAATCCAGCCTCTACATCTGGCAGTTTTTGTTTCAGATACTGTTGAAGTCTGGATTGCAAAACTTGAACATTATCATATTAGCACTGAGATAATTATTCAGCAGTTTGAATATTCTTTAGCCCTTTTTTGGCATTAGCATATACATTTATCTTTTCTAATCCCTTGACTACTATTGGGTTTTCCATATCTGCATACAAACCACATGTGGCACTTCTACTGTGTCATCTTGTACGATTTTAAACACTTCTGCTGTTATTTGATCAATTCCTGCTGCTTCGTTAGCAAGATTTCCTAGGGCCCATTTAATTCACTTTCCAGGATGTCTGGCTCTAGTTCATTGATCAAACCTTTGTACATATCATCTGTTTGAGATCCTGTTTGCACAGTTCTACTGTATACTGTATGTGCACCATCTCTTCTTTATAACTTCTTTCTCCATTAGATTTTTGCATAAAAGTTTCTCTTGATTTCTCTATTTTTCTTAAATAAACCTCCTCCCATTCAATTGTTATCTTCAGTTTTTTGAATTGCTTATTGAGATCTTGTCTCTTCTTACTCTTTTTTGGAACTCTGTATTGAATTGGGCGACTTTCCCTCTGTCTCTGTTGCCTTTTACTTTCTACCTTTTGTGAGCCATTCTCAGTGCCAGTAGCCAGCCATTGACCTTCTTCTGTCTGTTGCGTTTCAGGATATTTTCTTTGCTTCATCTTTATTCACAAATTTCAGGCCAGAGTTCTTCAGCCTGCCTATTTATCAGATCCAATCCATTAAATCTATTATTTATTTTCACCACCTAATATAGAACATTGCTGAGGTTATATTTTGCTGTTCCAGTGATTTTGTTCCTTTTAGTTTAATTTGTAATTTTGCAAGAAGGAATTTGTGATCTGGGCAGCAATCAGCACCAGGTCTAGTTTTTGTTAACTGAATAGAGCTTCTCCACCTTTGCTTGCAGAGTATATAGGTAAAAAAATTCTGGTCATTTCCAGTCTGGTGATGGCCATGTATAGAGCCATGTTTTAGGTTGTTGGAAGAAAATTTGCTATTATTTTAATATAAATGTTGAATTTTCCTGGCAGAATCTATTAGTCTGTCTCCTGCTTTGTTTTTTATACTGAGGCCAAATATTCCA